GGGAACTTTATAACGGGCTTCAGCCGTCATTATCTGATGGGAATTCATTATCTTAGTTCTGCCCAGGCACTGTCTTTGAGGATAGCAACTTACATGGGTGAGATCTCGCCGATTTCTGATGGTCCTGGCTTGAATTCAAAGTTGAGGTTAGTGACTTTACCGACTAGCTTGTCCTCAACAACACTTGGTGTAACGGACATAGTTCCGTCAAGTACTGCAAGGTCGCTCCAATAATAAAACGGTCTGAATGGACATAAGCCGTACTTACTTATTGTCGCAAGAGGTTTAGTGGTGTATATAGAGCCGACGTGTAAGTCGAGTGCGAATTGGCCACCAACAGTGATGTCATCGGTTTTCATGTGCACATATGGTTCATCTGACGTATGCAGACTCATTTCGATGTGCTTATCTGGATATTCCTTGCTGAGCATATCGAAAAATTTCCCTACACAAAACGAGCCAGGGCAACTGTAAGAATTATAACATAGTTGTTTGATTAACGATCAATAAGCTATCTAATCAGGCACCTGGTTCTGAGGAAAGATTCCATTTCTGGAACATTCTCTTTGTTCACAGGAATTTTTATGATCCCCGATTTGTGAATGCTACCAAGCAAGCAATTCCAGACACTTTCACCCAACCAAAGCACAATCATTCTTGGTTCCAAACCATCTCCTGCAACCATCTTCGTAACATTTATCGTAATGAAAATTGTTGGTAAGATTGCGATCATCTTTCTCCTTGATATTTCATCTTCAAAATATAGTAGTAGATTGATCATACTTTACAAAGTTGAACAGTTTCTCCTGCTATAGGTACGGGCTAAACGCAATGTGTGACGCTGTACTAGAAGCTACACACGGGTTAAGGTATACAGTTTACGAATACTGCTGTCTAGTTTCTAAGGACATAGTGGATTTTAAAGATAAGTTTTAGGGATAATTTAAGGTTATTTTGTTGAACTTCCTTAGAAATCTTTAAAACCCTTCCTTACTGTTTTAATGTGATATTCTCAAAAACGCCACCTACCCGAATATGGTGTTGGTGCCGCGTTGCACATCTGTTCGCCATATGCCACTTCGGCTGCACCTTCCAT